GGCTGACGCTCCCACCTCTGCGGGCGCGGTACCGCCTCCGCGCCGGCCCTGGCCGCCGGAGCCAGACCGGGCACTGCAGTGCAGGGACGGCGTCCCCGCCGCCGCACAGCCCCCCATCAATGCGAGATCTAGGCCTCCTCGGCCCCACCCTTCCGTCCTCCAGGAAGTGAGGCGTCCTGCACGTGCCGCGGAGATGCTCAGACTACAGCCCCTCAGCACGGTAGCGGCCCCAGCTGTCCCGTTATTCCCGCACCTAGCCCACCTCCCTCCTCACTGCAACCAGCCCCAGCCGCGCAGTCACCGTAGGACCCCTCCGCCACAAGAAGTCAGCCCCTTTGCTTTGCAAAGCGCTCCTCGGTGCAGAAACCCTCCCATCCCTGCAGGGATCTTCAGCTTCTGCGGAAACTTCAAGGACCACTCACCCTGTGCAGGGATCTCCCATCGCTGCAGCAGCCCTTCCCCCCGCCCCAAGGAGCCAGCCTTCCTGTCACTGCAGCGCCACCTCCATACTTCTGGCGGGGTGGGGGAGGCGGTGAGGGGGTCACTGCAGGATTCCTCCCTCAGGCTGCCGCCCCTTCCCCCCGCTCCATTGCCCTGCACTTCGGAAGTGAGCTGTCAGCCTGCAGAGCCTTCTCGTGGTTGCAAACTGTCCCCATCATAGCAGCCCCTCGCTGAAGCACCCTCAGGAGAAAACATCCCTGTTTGTAACAGGTCCCTTGTTATTGGCAGAATTTTCATGCAGTTTGACAGTGTTAGGTTGCAAAAGGAGTCCCTGAGTGATGCAAACGGTTAACCGTGAGCTGAACCTTGATGGATCAGCCCACCGAGAGGCACCTTGGAAAACAGGCCTGGCAATCTGCTTCCAAAAAGTCACAGCCTTGCAAACCCTATGGAGCAGCTCTGCTCTGCACACATGGGGTGGCCAGGAGCCTAAATAGACTGGATGGCAACTAACCAACTAACTGAAACTAACAGCAACAATATTGCAAAAGCAAGTCTGTGAAATCCCTCCTAGGACCCCTGAGGGCGGGTCTGAGAGCCCTGGGGAAGTGTGGAGAGGTGACTGCGTTTGGGGGTCACCTATGGAAGCTTCCTTGCAAAGACCACACCCGGATTGTGCAAAGAAAGCTTGAGGAGAGCTGTGGATGGCTGGAGGGTGGGAGAAGCCATCATTGGGGTGTGGGCTATCAAGCCAGACCCAGGGGCCCCACCCCTCCTCATTAACTTTATCTTTTATTTTATTACGTCACCACATTGACCCCAGGGGGATGGCTGCCTCCTTGAGCACCTGTCTTAGGCTGGGTTCTCTAGAGAAGCAAAACCACTGAAGTGTATAAATATATATGTGTATAGAGAGATTTATATCAAGGAAACAGCTCACGTGATTGTAGAGGCTAGAACATCCCAAGGCTGTGGATCAGGGTAGAGGCCTCTCCCAAGTCACGCAGCAGCAGAAGCTGGCGAGCCCAAGATTGGCAGGTCGGAAAGCAGGGCTCCTGTTCACAGGCTGTGAAGGTTGACGAATTCCAAGATCAGCAGGCAAGACCACAAGGTTTCTCCTGATTCACGTAGCTGCAGGGGCTGGCGAACCCAAGATCCGCAGGTCACAGGGCTCCGGTCACAGGCTGTGAAGATCCACGAGTCCCAAGTTCGGCAGATAAGTTGACAACTCAAGTCCCGAGAACCAGAGATGAGATGACAGGAGGCAGCCACAGGATCCAGAGTGAGCAAAAAGCCAGAATGTCTGCTTATGTTCAGATGCAGGCCACACCCCCAAGGAGACTCCCTTTCATCTGACTGGCTACTTACAGTATATTCAATCATGGGAGTGATCACATTAAAACACTGAGAATCATGGCCCAGCCAAGTTGACACACAATCTTAACCATCACAGCACATGAGCCCTCAACACCAGCCCTTTCCCTTGCTCAAAGGTCTTAGCATGATGGAGATAACTTGGCCTCTCCAAGGGAACTTCATAGGTAGAAATGCACAAGGACAATACAGGAAGCACACTAACCTAGCCACAGGGAGCTCCAGCTGAGTCCCAGCCCTGTACTTTCCACACTGTAGGAGTCCTGGTTCCATTGACCCCTGTCCTCCCTTCTCTGTTGAGCCCCTCCCCGAGCCTTATTCTAGATGAGGGTCCCTCTCACAGGCCTGGGAGAAACAGTGGTTGATGAGTGGTCTGATGGTCTCTCCAGATGACCTGGGTTCCCAGGCAGGACCAGCCCTGGCCATGAGAGCCACCCCCCCGCCCCCAGAGGTCCTGGTAGCAGCCTCCTCCCTATGGGTGTCTTGTGCTCTGCACCTTCTGCAAATGAACCAAGAGCTTCAAGTGGCCCTAAGACCCAACCTGATGCTGCGGGGAGCAGTCATCGGCCTCAAGCACACAGAAATGGAAGAAGAGATCCTTGTCCTTGGTTCTGAGGAGTGTTTGCATGTAAGATAACCACTGCTTCTCAGTGCACGGATCCCAGGTCCAAAGGATACACTCCACTCCTGACTCTTCTTTCTTGGTGGTGATGAGATCCTCTCCTCCTGCCTCTGGGATGGCTCATTTTAAGCCTAGTAGGATGGCAAAACTGATCAATCCCTTCGTTAGGGTTCCATAGGCCTTGTTTGCATGGTCCTACCCTCACATGGGCGGCATGAACTTTATTTGCATTATTAGCAAGCTTTCCAATCCCTTTGGTGGGCCACAATTACCTTACTTGTATAGTCCCACCCAGTCACTTGGGCGGGAGTTACAAAATGATGGTAAGAAAGGCCACATAAAAGCAATCCATTGCACCTTGCCATTTGTGTAATTTCTGTGTTTCTAAGAATTTTTCATTTATATAGGTTATCTAATTTGTTGGCATACTCTTGTTCATAGTATTCTCTTGTAGTCCTTTTTATTTCTGTAAGGTTGGTAGTGGAGCCCTGGTGGCATAGCGGTTAAGAGTTCGGCTGCCAGCCAAAAGGTCAGCAGTTCAAATCCACCAGCTGCTCCTTGAAAACCCTATGGGGCAGTTCTATTCTGTCCTATAGGGTCGCTGTGAGCTGGAACCACCTCGATGGCACCTAACAACAAGAAGATTGGTAGTAATGTTCCCACTTTCATTTGATTATACCCACTCCTCACTTATGGACATGGTTAAGTTCCAAAGATCAGGACCTTATGTGAAAATTAGCATTGTGTGAAAATGAAGGATGACCACATCAGATCACAAAATGGAGGCTGACTACATCATTATATAACTGCCAAATTACATTATTACATAACTGCCTAACCACTGAGAATCATGGCGCAGCCAAACTGACACATAACCTTAACCATCACAGTGGCGAAATTTGAATAAGATTAGATAATTGTACGGTATCAATATGAATTTTCTCGTTTTGATAATTGTACCGTGGTTATGTAAAGAAGTCCTTGTTTTTAGGGAAAAAACACATTAGCGTATTTAGCGGTAAAGGGGTATTGTGTCTCCAACTAACTCCCAAATGGTTTAGGAAAAAAATCATACACGTTTAATGCAAACATGGCAAAATGTTAATATTTGGGGAATTCAGCTGAAGGGTAGAGCAGAATTCTTTGTAATATTTTGCAGCGTTTCTCCAAGCCTGATATTATTTCAAAATAAAGTGTTACAAAAATTAAGGATTTCTGTTCGGTGATGGGACACTATGGACAATGTTAATAGCTGGCACAAGGAGGGAAGGTGTTTGCATAATACATAATGTAAGTTTATATGTTTACATGTTCATGTGATTGTAGATAAGTGTGGAAAGATGTATGAAACTGGTAACCAATGGTTACTTTAATTTTCTTTGGATATACCACTGCATTCCTCAACTTG